CGTGATTTCGTGACTCCGTCTGGAATTCGCTCAGCAGAATTCGCTCCGTCTGGACGCCGGTGTAGCCCTCGATGGACATGCTGAAGCACACGGCCAAGATGATGCTGCCCATCAAGACATGCGTCTGCACCTTGCTGCTGCGGGGGGGGGGGCCGCGCCTTTCGCCCTTGGCTTCGGGAACCTAACCCAACGGGCATGGCAGCTGAATGGTTCAACCATGCTGAAGCGCCCAAGGCCGGCTGAGTGCCACACACTTTCCATCCTTGGGGGCAAGGCAGGCGACATGGAAAAACATGTGCACCGAAGACTCCAGTTAGACAGGCTGCTGGCCTTGGGAACAATGAAACAAGAATACCCACAAAAAGCATTCGGCTCGTGGCCAGTCCGAGGGCTTGCACGGCCGCGGCGCATCGCAAACGCGCGTCAACACCATTCAAGATGCAGCTCAAGAGCATACATTTGTTCACATCTCGGATATCTTCACGAATCTGCAAAGATCTCTCATATCTCACCTGAGGAAAAAGCTCCAAGGACTTCAAGAGGGCTCTTCTAACACTCAGGTGCCTTCCTCAACATCTCTCACTGATTCAATTACTAAGTTCCTTCCCTTTCCCTAAGTCACTCATTGGAAAGGATCAACCAGCAACGCTTGCCCAACCACCGGCCTCCTGACGAAAGAGATCCTGTCAAGACACAGGCTTGGCTGTGAGATTCTTCATCTTCTTCTGTTGGGGTGTTGCTCCCACCAGATCATTGACAAAATTGCTGACAAAGCCCCTCCCCTCCCGCTTTCCGACCACTGCCCTGAAGGTGCAACATGCCATGCATCTGTAACAACCTGCCATGAGTCGGTGTAGCGTTTTCGCAGGCTCTTGCCTGTGCTACCTTCGCTTGGTGAGCATCACCACTGACAGCTACCTGAAACTGTCCATGCTGCTGCTACTGCTGCTGGGAATTCAACATCGGGAATGGTCACCGTTCTTCTAATGAGTGGGATGGCATACAACACATCACCTGTTCTCACGAATTTGGGCGATTGTTGCAATTTGTGGAACCCTAGCATTGCATCGGGAGCTTTTTTGCACAACTGACAACTGATGTGAAGCACACAAAGCCCGAGTCCCCTGCAAAGGACCTGCATGCAACGGAAAGCGCTGAGCTTCAAGTGCAAAACGGTGCTCTGACCAAAGTGTGTTCTGCTGCCTGCTTAAATCTCCGAAGCTGTCAGAATTCTTGAAGAGTGGCACAGTGCACATGATGACACTCCGTGTCTGCTCATGCTGCATCATACAATCTCAACTTCGTTGACCTGTCATGAAAAAAAGATCTGAAAGTACTCAGTGGCTGACGAGAGGAAGTCGTTCCCTAACACTAGTGCCTGGCAGCCCAATACCGTGCGCATGCTGCGAACCATCTCAGCGACCACCAAAACATCTCACAAGAAACTTGTGGTGGACCATTTGGTTCATAGCGAATCTCAATCCAAAAAGGTTCCCCTCAAAAGAAATCTCAGTCGGCAGTGCATCTGTGCTTCGCCCCCAGGCCAAACCTGGAGCAAAGGTACCATGCCGAAAGTGTTCACAAACCCTCAGCATGCTCCAACGCCACCCGCATTGTAACCCATTGGTCGGTCTTCTCGGAATACTGAAACTGCCCTGCTCTGAACGTGTAACTACGAACAAAGTTCACACAAGCAAGGCTTCAACCAATGTTGCCCATGTTCTTTTGATCCGATTCAAAACTACGAGGATTCTTCTGCAATTTGTCTTGCCAAGCCAGGTATATGTCACCGTGGTGCTGAGCTAGGCACCTGCCAAGCTGCTGAGGAAGGTGTCCATGCTGTGCCGTTGGGGTGAGATTCAGTCTGGCCAACCAATTATTCTGTTCTCGGGCTTGCCTTTTTGTCACACTGGAGTCAATGGCAATCTCGGAACCAGGGCTGAACATGGTTGAACATTCAAAGACTAGATGTGCAACACGGTTTTAAAAAAACTAGGCTGTTTAGTATCGGCAATCTCTGACCGCGCTGGTGAAACTGCCGGAGTGCGAGCTGCGAGGTCAGGCCCAAAGGAACCAGGCCATGCTCTGAACTCAGGGCTGATCAAATCACACGAAGCACCTAGAACTGCACCTCGCATATCCTAGCATCCCTTTCCAGCAAACTCTGATTGTCTAGCACCTGCCAAGGGGCCAAGACCTCTGCTCGCACTCTATGCGCTGAAGAAGCGCTGATCGACTTCACCCCTTTGGGTGATTTGATGCCGCTCCGTCTGCAACAGTGCCACCGTTCCGTGCACCTCAATCACCATGAGTCATGCTAATGCATGTTTGCACACCTTATCTTGACATCTTTATATCTTTTTAAGACTTTACTGATCAGCTTTTTGGACATGACATAAGCAACCTGTCATCCTCGCTCCATCTTGGCCAGTCATCGGCCATCAGGTCTTCATTTTGACCCTCGCCCCAGCTCGGTCCGAGTCTCTCCTCTCAATGCCTCCGAGTGTCTGCTGCAGCCGGCCATGGCTTCCTTCAGCTTGTGGAACCCGCCATGGAGCCGACAAGGCTGCCGACTGGGCCGTCAAGGTCACGCGGGGTGGGAGACGTCCCAACGGCGGAGGCGGCGGCGGATCGTTCGCGGGAACCAAAAGCACAAATGGCAGACTCTAGGACGCTACTAGGAGCAAAGGGCATCGCTACTAGGAGCAAGGATGCTACTAGGAGCTTTTTCGCACAATCTATATAGGTGTGGCAGCAGGCAGCTCAGTGCTGTATGCCAAGTGTTCAACTCCATTACCTCCAGCAGCATGTGCATCGTTCTTTCCATGCCCCAAAGCAGCGGCATCTCTAATTGTCCGGCCATGTGCCAGCTGAATTGGCAGGCGCTCACCATCGCACTCAACGACTGTTGAAACTAGCCGAGACGCTGGGATTGGCTCAGAAGGATAGCGTTTGATAGTATTTGTCCAGATGTCATGAGTCTGAGCCAGTTCAGGCGAGCACCAGTGCAACGATGCAAATAGGTCATTGGCTTGGACCCGAGCCGATAGGCTGGGCCTGGCTCAGGCTTTTGCTGTCTGCACCAGCAGAAGAACGGCATAAGAAGCGCCAATCGCACCTTCCTCAGAGTAGTTTATCATAACTCTCATATGCGGGCATCCAACTCTCAGGTCTTGGTCACCTTACCTAGAAGGTGCGGAGAAATCTGCGCAAGTTCAGGCTGGTGTCATCCGCCATTGTCCCAAAGGGATTGGCCTCGGGTGCAGGAGGAGCAGCGTTCAGCGTTTCATGGCTGGTAAATGCTTGGTGCCGCACATGGGGTTGACAACCAAGCCTAAGACTTTGACACGTGGGCCATTTGTGCTCCTCAACATCTTGACTTAAGCGGAGTTGCCTACATAGGATAGTGTGTTTTTGAGATGCGTTGGTTACGGCGGGGGGGGGGCTCGATGGGCCTAGGATACTGAGCTGTGTTGATGTCAAATGTCTGGGACAGCCACTCACTTCACTCTGCACACCAAGCGAAGCACCGTTGGGTGGTCTTAGAGATGGGTGCACCTAAGCAAAATAGGCTGGTCAGCAGGTGGAGACTCATCTTATCGACATAAGCAAAGTCCAACCCTCCTACCAACAATCTGGTCGGCAAGCTTACCGGTTCCTCAAACAGTTTCAAATGTGTTCTAAATGTTTGGGGCTTGGTCACCACTCTAGCAGCAACTCAGTGACCCTGGTTTCAGTCATTCTTTCTAAGCCGATGGTTCACCAGGCTATGCTATGCTAGGCTCTTCACGCGCACCGTTTGAGGAGGTGTGCCCACCTGCGACGGGGCCGCCGACGGAAGCAAAGCAGGAGCCGACCGTCGTTTCACGACGCCTGCGGCCCATTGAGCGTCCGCAGTAAGCACATGGGGCTTGCAAGACCTGGCCGGATGCGTGTCCAAAACAAATAAAATCGACCCCTCTCACCTGCCTGGGTGGTAGTCAGTTGTAGCTCAGTTTTTATGTAGATTCGTTCATTTGTTGCGTGCCTGGTCCGCGTGTTTGTTGAAGAGGGGTGAACGGGGCGGCGGATGATGGCGCCTGAGAGGCAGCGGCTCTACTGAGGAGGCAAGCTGACGACGTACCCCTGGGACAGCTGCCCGAGGAGGCAGCTTTCGTGGGGAGGCGAGCACCGGCGCCTCGGGTCAGAAATACTTGCAGCCCGCGGCCCTGCCTCCTTACTTCATCAAGAAGGTGCCTACTTAATTAAGTAAGGGAGTAAGCTCCTATATAGCTACTAAAGCTCCTAGTAGTAAGGCGATCCGGATGGATCCGCAGGAATGGTTGGGCCTCTGATTTTGAAGGGCCCTGCCACACCCGTTTGGGATCCAGGATCCGTACCGTTTCAGGTACTGGATGCAGGATATTTGGGGAGCTTCCTTGAAGAAGCGCTCGCATTAATGATTTGGCTCATAGACTTCTAGGGATACTTAACCGAGCTTGAACGTATCCAACGAACAAAGGCCACTTCATGGAGGCCTAAGTGGCCCAAATTAGTGAGCCTCAACTGCCACCCTGATGAATCCTGACTCTATGTTGCTTCGAAGTCATCAAGGGTTCTGGCACATGAGGGCGTGTGCCTCAAAACACGTGGTGACACTTTGGATTTGCCGCGTCGAGTCCCCTTTTTATCCGCCATTGTCGGTGCTTCGGTGGCTGCGGGAGTCCTCTGTGGGAGCTGACACCTGTGTGGGTCGATCAGGAGTTGGGTGATCCCATCTCCAACCCGATCATCTCCTTTGAAAGTCTGGGACCTCAATTTCTACAGCTCCAAACTGGGGTCCAGTTGGAGACGAAGCCTTTTCAAAACTCAACTGCTTGGCACCACCTGATATCCGTGCCCAGACTGATATCCGTGGAGGACACGTTGAAAACAGCAACTCATTTCAGCAGTGGCACATTTAAGGAAGCTGATCTCAACAATCTGTGAATGAAGACTTGGACTACCAAACTTGTTTCGATTCTGACATGCTGGGCTCTAGCAGACCTTGGTGGTGGATACCAACTGTAGGCAGCAGCTGGTGCAAGGTGACACATGATCTGGGTCGCTGCTCACCAGCCGTACTTGGCATGGGTCTGTGCCTGCAGAATGCAGACGCAAAAACAGTTTTAAAATCTCGGTCTGGTGGGAGTACATGCACATCACCACTACAACAATGGCTTGTGGCATGAATCACGTGTAATTATACATATATTCGATGAATCTCGCTCAACATATGTCGACTGCTGCTACCCTTTTCTGCGAATCGATTCAGGTCTGTACTGTCTGTACTAAAGTGCTTTGGTTCGAAATGCGACCCACGTCGCTTGTGTCATCTGACATCTGACACTCTCCCTGTGGGAGCACTCCATCCGTATGTAGTGACCGAGAGGATACCGCAGGGGCGGTCCTACGGCCACAACGGATGCCAGCTCTGGACAGAGCGATGAAAAGATTAAATGGAACTCCCTAGTCATCGTCAATACCTGGGACCGACAGAACAGGTATGATGGCTAGGCGGCGGGCAGCCGGAAAAGGACAACCGGACGACAGCGGCAGACAGCACAGTCCCCATCTCATGTGGCCGACAGCCCAGGCTGCAAGCGTCACAAGCATAGCCGTGGTAACTGAAAGTAACCCGGAATACGGCCATCAAGCACCAGCAAGGCCACAGGTGAAGCGACTGTCACCAGGTAACCAGACTCTTCCGGCAACAAGCCAAGTCAGCCACCAGCTCGACTAGCACCAGGTGGACATGAAAGTAACTAACAGGGTGTGGCAGGGTGGGAGAAAAAGTTTAGCTTGAGGTACCAGCAGCGACACTGCTCCTCAAGGGGCGTCTCCCCAGTTTGGCTTGAGCATTCAAACATTGGGAGACGTTGATTCGAAGCTTCCCAAATAATTCATCATCACCGACCCTGCCTACCTTAAATGATTGAATATATTCGATGAATCTCGCTCAACATATGTCGACTGCTGCTACCCTTTTCTGCGAATCGATTCAGGTCTGTACTGTCTGTACTAAAGTGCTTTGGTTCGAAATGCGACCCACGTCGCTTGTGTCATCTGACATCTGACACTCTCCCTGTGGGAGCACTCCATCCAAGGCACTAACTTATCCAAAGCACTCAAACGAACTGAAAGACCTGAGCGATGAGGTGGTAGGGCAGCTGGAGGAGCATGAGCAGGGGGTAGGTGTGGAAGAGACGAAAACCATGTTGGAACCACGGGTCGTGTTCTCCCTGTCTGCTGATGCCGTCTGACCAGTTGTCCTTACTCTGGACCCATTCAAAGTAGCATGCACTACGGAGTGCAAACAGAAGGCCATGGATGGCTCCGGCCATAGAATCCAGCTCATCGTTGTTGCTGCGGCCTCGTATGAGAGCCATGAGGGCAGCGATATTGTCAACAAACCATATACCATGCATTCCGCGAACTGATGAGGCATTATATGCCAGGCCCATGTAGACTGTCAAGAGCTCAAGCTGTGCAATCTTGGCCTCATGATGGGACCACACCGTGAAGATCTTTGGGCTGATATGGACGACATAGGCCCTCCGGTTACCACGGGGGTCAATGAACAAGACTCCCGCAGAGCCCTCGCGGGGTCTATCTTGCGCTGCATCGGATGCTGCCAAGTATCGGTGTTGCCGTACTGGATTGAGCGGTAATTCTCTTTCAGGCTTCACCTGAAGTAGAGCTCGAATTCTAGCAAAGGACTGTTCAATCTCCGGTGTCATCACGACTTGCGAGGAGTATTGTCTGTCCTTGATGCTATGGAGGCCCGACCGGCCGAGCTTGCCGAAGCATCCCGTCGTCAAGAAGCCCAGGCAGCCAAAGAGCTTGGCCGCTAGTCCCGGAGGGAGGCGACGCGTCTGAGTGGCCTCCTCCATGATGTCGGTGACCTTGGTGAGCAATCGGTCCCGGACCCAGAACTTGACAGGATCACCCCGGTGGCAGGCAGCCACGTCATGGATCAGCCCTAGAAAATCAGACTGAGCCGCCAAGGGCTGATGTTTCTCTGTTTGGAAGGGTGAGCCAAGGCATCGTGCCAGGTCATTAACGAATGCCTGGCCAGTGCCGCCCATGATACCGAAGTCCTGGATGGTCAGGTCATCAAAGTACATACTGGTCATACAATAGGCCAGGCGGCGGCAGGCAGCTTGAAAGAACCGGGGAAATCGATTGAACGAACACACAGCGTTTGGTAACCCGAACAGAGAACCGTAGTATTGTCGAAAACGGGGGCCACCCACGTGGTGGTCGTAGTATGCCACCACGGCCATGTTGCCATGTGTCGGCTTCATGGGGACATAGCGGTAGGCGTTGGGTAGGTCTTCGCCCCCGGACCAAATACCAGCTTGCAACAACTCAGACACGTGAATCGACGAGGATGCTGCCTGCCAGAGCAATTGAACATGAAGGCCAGGTTGAATGCTCGTACATAGATCCAACTTGTTCGCATCTGAGCTGAGTGCGCTCTGCCCTCCGTCTGCAGCGTCATCTATGACTCGCAACTTACCCGAGGGCTGTTGTATACAAAACCTCCGGATCAGCCTGAATTGGGGGAGGTCCTGGCACAGCTGGCCCATGTCATTGGGGGGCCACAAAAGCCTTTGGCTTGGTCTTCCTCACCCGCCTGGGCAATGGCCGTGTCGTGTTCACCTGGGCGGAGGCTTTGGATGATGCGGGCAGCCTCTGGCAGGGCGTCCTGGTAGATGGAGGCGTCCGGGATGTAGTGAGCTGGTTGAGCCTTGTACACGGGCACATGCGGGGAAAAGCCTACGGCAGGGAAACCATATATCAGGTTAGCCACGAACGTAGTGTCTGGCCAGCCAGTAATCAGCATGATAAGCCCAATCAGGGCGATGTGGCGCCCTTGAGTGGCGGACCGCGCGGGCGGTGGCTGATAAGTTTGGAGGTGGTATGTGATGGGCCACATTCGACGGCTCAGTTCTTGGAGCCAACGGCCTGTACGTCTCCTCACCTCCCGCAGGCCCACTCCCCGGGCTGCATAGCCAGATGCGGCAAAGATCAAATCATCATCGACAACACCCATAGTTTCAAATGGGGTGGGTCTCTGTTGCAACTCAAGTGCGAGTTCAAAATGTCGCTCCTCCCCTACGCCAAAGGGGATCATAGGCGGTAAGGCTTTTGCAGCAGCAGCCGCTCCGGGCTGCTGAAGGCCGCTCATCGCAATGGCGTTGCGCTCCAATGGGCCCACCAACCGTGGACCAAAGGCGTGTCCGTCCCAGTCCGGGCGGTTCTGCATATAGTTGAGCCATTGGTAGTGCGAGTCATCCACTAGCAGGTCTTCGAGCATAGGCCACTGGAATCCCTCCCAACTGATATCTGGACAAAGGGCCATGAGGCTGGCCACCACAACCTCCTGAGAGAAGCGCAACGGGACTGCCCTGGCAGGGCGAATGCAATGAGTGAAACCCGTCGCAACTGTTCCCGAGCGGGATGGCCGTGGCCTGAGGTCGAAGTAGGACGTGAAGTAGTCCAAACCAGAGCACGAATGATATCGCCATGACATAGCACGTTGTGGGGGCAGTCGCACACCAGCGTCTTGCCATGTAGGGATGGGAGGTCAGCCAGCAGATGGTCCTGGTCGGCGATCCATCTGGCGTAGTGAAGGACACTCTCAATAGCAGTGCTGCCTTCCCCTGTCCGGAAGGGGTTTTGCCACTGTGTCAGTGGCCAACGATGGGAGAAATGCCCTGGGCCGATGTACACGTCCATGTCTGTGAGTTGTGACCTCAGTTGCAACACATCGAATGCGACTTGGCGAGTGGGCACATGGGACGAGTCTTCTCGTGGTGGTGTGAGGCCCATAGGTGGAAGCCCATGACATTCATCAGATCCTCTCGCAGCTCGGACGGTTCGAAATGGAGCAGTGGTCGTACGTCCCCTGAGGTGTTGATGGGCGGTAACCTTGGGATGGCGAGGATGCCGTAGCCCTGTCGCGCCGCCCATGCCGTGCAGCATACTGCTAGGGTGAAGACCAAACTAGGTGTGTACTCCGCTTCGTTGAAGGTGGAGAAATGCCCATTACCCGACGAGCGCCACTCGTTGGGGTCATGAATGTGTCCACATCGAACGGCCGGAAGGGAGGCCAACTCGGGGATGTTGCGACGAAACTTTTGGGCTTTGCGCCGAGCGCCTCCGAAGACGCATGCATCATAGTCCAAATCCTGCCAATCGTCCTCCTGGCACAGGTACTGCTCGACCGGGTCCCACCAGTGCAGAGACCTGAGCGGGTTCTCGCGAAGACATGCGAGGTTCTGTTGATGTCCCCAGTGTTGTAAAGCCAACAGGTAATCACTGGAGTAGTTGTCAGCGTCGACCCGTGCCTGTTGTCCCTCGTCCAGTCCTGGTAGACCCCGTGGGTGTTCCTCGGATCGTAGAGGAGGGGGACCGGGCCGTTTCTCTCTAGCTCTTGATTTGGTAGCACAACTCATAGCCCCCGCAATAGTGGCCACCCGAGGGAGCACCGCCTGAATAGCCCGACGGACCGCCGGACGCGACACGTCCAGGTCCTGATCGATCTCGATGTCAATCGGTGTGATGATCTCCCATTGGCACCACAAGAAGGCCTTGGACAACGGTGCATGGACTCCACTGAACACATCAAGGAGGATGGGGCAGGGTGAGGCTTCAGTCTGGTGCATATCAATGGACTCCAACTCGGCCAAAAATGAACGGAAGTCATGAAAGACAGGAGTGTCCAAAGATTGGCCTCGCCCCCCCCCAACAGAGGAGCGGCCCTCTTTTCAAGCAGCCTTGGGGCATCCTGATGGTGAGTGCTGGTACGATCCGCAGACCCGTCCTGACTGCAACACGACTCCGCAGCGGTGCGCCCCACGTGGGCAGTTCTTCTCGGTGCGGCACTGATTGCGCTGGTAGGCCTGACAAAGCTGCGTGCCATCACGAAGAGTGGAAACCACCGACCCCACCGGCCCTGCATCCGCAGGGGGGGCCTTGGCGGGTGACGCGCCGCCAGCAGCGGTACCCGTGGTGATGCTGGGGGCTGGCAGGGCCCCGGCCAACCAAAGGGCGTCACGCTCCCGCATGATGGCACTGATAACATTGCCAAGTGTCGTGTGGCCCGTGCATCGGGCTGCCCATTGACCGCGCTCTTCCACATCGAGGTGTTGGACCAGCTGCAGGCGCCTCCCCTCCGAGGTGCGCAGAATCAAATCATGGCAGCGGCTGGAGTAGGACAGCAGGATATCATAGGGGACCTGGACGTATTGCACACTGTCTGCACCGAGCGACTCAGGCGCAGACGGCGCCGGCTCCACGGGGCGACACCCCACAATAGCCAGGGCCAAGAAGTAGGTGTCCATCTTGGCCATGTAGGAGAGCCAGGACTTGGCGGTGATCTCGTCCTCGTCATCCTCTTGGAGGTACAAGTTGCCCGTCAGGCGTCGCCGCTTCTGGCTATGTGTGCGCTGGAAAGTGAGTGAGCGGACCGTCCACAGATCCATGACCTCGAACTGGCTTCGTGTCAGCTGTCGGCTGAGCTTAGACAGCAGTCGGTCAGAGGGATACTGGCGAGGCTCTGGACGCAAGTGGTAGCGTCGAAAGAAAGCCTCTTTCAACTGCTCGAGCTCCTGTTTGGGAAGCAGCGTCTCTTCTTCCGTTGGCGCTGGAGGCAGGCTGGCCGCGGCGTGCTCGGAATCCAACAAGGCCTTGCACGCCGTCCAAGCGAAGCGCAGCCGAGCGGCCTGGAGGCGCCCTTGCATCTCCTCATAGGGTGGATCCTTGACTGTATCGATGAAGAGCTTTTTGATTTCATCCTCACTGCGGGCGTAGTGGCGGAATTCTGCAATGGTGCGAATCCCCAACTCAATGATCTTGTCTTTGATGCGCTGCTCGAAATTGAACTGCAGCGCAAGAGCGGTGAAGGTGCCCTCCGGCGTAGCAAGCTGCTTAGGGACGGTGGCCATGATTCACAACAGAAGATGGTGGGAGCAGCGAACACTGGAGAGCAGAGATGGCTGCGGAAGATCGCAGAATCGAAGAGTGGACAGAATCTGCAAACACAAAGCAAAGAAACAGCGGGTAGCAAGTGGAGCGCCGCACAGTGTCAACCCTTTTTCAAAAACTCAAAGTCGTTCATGGCATGACTACTGAAGCCGCTTTGCAAGCTCCCCGAGCTCCAAGCTCAGGCATTGTAGCGCTGGCCAACCGATGGCCTCGCCTGCCGCGTGGGCCTCGTAGTGGGCAGTATGGAGCAATTGACGGAACGAAGCGCGATCGGCCTCATGGAGACTGTCATGGTGACGCGCCAAATCATCACACGTAGTGTGGACCAGTGGGGCGTAGGGAGGCAAAGTACCAGGTCTCAGGGCCGCCGGCCACAACAGCCCTTCCAGCCTAGGCTCTGGGCGTGCTGCCTCCCTGGGCAGGTCTTGGATCTCATCCCACCATTCGATCCATGATTCACATAGGTTCCGTGCAGCGCGCAGCTGAACCTGTACCGCCCCTAGACAAGAGGTGGAGGTCGGGGGAAGGGCCCTCAAGGCCCGACAGGCCTTGTCCATTTGATCCCCTACCTCCCAAGCACGGGCCCGTCTGGCCTCGCCCTCCAAGGGCGTCAGTGTCACGGCAACGAACTGGATCGCCTGAGGCCGGTCCATTGGCGCAGGGTATGGTCGTGGAGGCCGGAGTTCACTGGGATACGAGACGCTGCAGCAAACATGCAAGAACTGACTATAAAAATTCGATCGAGGTTCAGACTAGGGACCTACTCCTCGGGCCGTCCGCCGAGTCCCCATGAGGCAAAAACTTGCATAGCACACGAGACGCCCTCTCGGCCTACCCGGTAGGCGTGCTGTTTCCGAGGACTGCAGTTATTAGTACAAGTGGACCTGGGCATTGCCAGGGAGCACTGCTTTACATGTGATACAGAAATCACGCCCATAGGCCAAGGCCTCTTCGCCTCGATAAGCAGCATTGCGCTGGCGCCATCTGCACCAGGGCGCGTTGTCACGCTCCACATGCCAGTGTGATCCTGCTTTGGTAGAGGTAATGAAGGAAATCGGATACCTCGGCAGGGCCGGTGGTGTGATGTGGACCTGGTTCCGTGCCCATTTGAAGATATCGGAGCCGCCCCGCCGGCTGAGCACACCGGCGCGGTCGATAGCCCGCAAGCCCTCCAGTCGCGAATATGTTTTGTTGAAGGAGCACCGCCGGATCCATGCAAGTAGCAAACCAGCCAACACAGGGGCCCTGTGCACCCCCGCCATGCAATGAACCAGAACGGAGTAGCCTGAATACAGGGTTGCCAGAAAGATAGGCAGCACCAACTTCAACTGGCGGTCACGTAGGGCTCCTTGATGACCAACAGGAACATTGACTTGGTAGACCTGGCGAGCACTGACCCCTCCCCGACAGTCGGCGGCAATCTTGTCCATAGCGCTGAGGCTCATGCCGATGTGGTGGGCCTCCAACCAGGTCCGGTCCGTGGGCAGACCGCCCAAGTAGATAGAACCATTGCCTGCTTCGCCCAGGAAGATGAGCGTGGGAGGCTCTGGGGCACCGCTGTGCCCGGGCCGGCGCCAGCGTTCCCGTGCCGCTGCATCGAAGGCCGCATCATTCGCCTCCTGCAGGTGCTGAGGCCGCTCTGGCGACGGTTGCAGCACTGAGGGCATGGCCTTGACTTTGGGGGTCGAAGGTGGCGTGCTCGAAGGAACTGCCGCTGTTGAAGATGAAGATGCCCGAGGTGAAGTCGATGGCAAAGGTGGCGGTGCCCGCAAAGATGGAATAGATGCCGAAGCTGATGAGGGCGAAACCACAGGCAGCACAGGTGGCACCTTCGGCGGAGGTGCTTTGGGCGGCGTCACCGGTTGGGCACTACCGCCGGCAGCAGCCCGGGGTGGCGGCTCCACCCGTGCCCGCTTCGCCAGCCGCGAGGGACTGGTGAACGAAAATGTTGACACCGTGTTCCTCGGCCCTGTGTGGGCTCAGGCACCGGGCCGGCAGCCACGGCTGGGGCCGGGCGTTTCCGCCTGAGCGCAGCAGTGAGGCGTTGACCAGTAGCGCGAATGATCTGGACCTGGGCCGGCAGCAAGGTCTTGACCACGGGCATGCCAGGGATGGAGTCCGTAGAAACTCGACGGATCTGGGGGTCCGAAGCGAGGAGCTCGTCAGCCTCCTCCATGCAAGTGGACCATCGGGCAGAGGCATAGCCTGTCGGCAGTTCGTCCCACAAAGCCATGTTGAGGTCCTGGAAGAAGTGCAAACCAGCCAAGCGTAACTGGTGTCCCAGGCGTTGTTTCCGCGAGTCATATCGCAGAGGGGTGGTAGCCGTAGACTTGGAGGACTGATCCACCCATTGTCCAAGAGCAAGTCGCTCTGTCTCTGATAGCCCCACATACCCTGCCAAAGTCGGAAGCACGCGGCGGAACGAGTAGGACGAGAGGCTGGTAACGTCCATAGCTGCACTCAGGTAGGGCCGCAGGATCCGGACACATTGCGCTGTACCCACCGGCTGGGCTGTAGCCGAGTCGAACCCCAACCAATGCCAGCGCCTGAAGCCGGCGCCTGTTCTGGGGCGCACTTTGTTCAAATGGGCACCTAGCACTTGTAGAAGGTCCAACGTGCCACAATACCTCGGAACGCTCCAGGCAAAGCCACCACGACTGCCAGTCTTACCTTTCGTGCACCAGAACACGAGGATGCCCCCGTTACCGCCGACCAAGTAGCTCCGTTGCAAATGGGTGTACCTGACCACACCAAAACATAGGGCGTAGGCACAAAACACCATGGGCCAGTGAGGATTGTCAACGGTGGATTCCAAGGTGCCCAACAGGTGGATGACCATAGATGGCTCCAAAGTCGCCGCCTGCGCCTGCCCCTGACCGAGGCGAGATCCCAAACCAGCCCGAGGTTTCACCACTTCGGAGAGGTCAAATGGCAACTTGAGGTTGCGGACGATCCATCCTAGAGCGGTATATGCCCTTGTAGGGGACTTGTGCTCCCGAATGAAGGTGGCCAGGAGGTGTTTGTCCGGGATACCTCCGCCTGCGGCCGCAATGACCCCTTGAAGCTCTTGCCACGTGTGCAATGCCCGCTTCACAGTGGCGGCCTCCGCCTTCTGGAGCACATGCGTGAGCTTGGCCTCGAAGTTGGCGGTGATCTCAGCCAAGCGAGCCGCCGGCGGGGGCTCTACTGCCAGAAGAAAGGCCATCAACTGAGGCAGAAAGGTCAAGGCACCGCCGTCAGGGCCGCCCGACTGACGGCCCTGGGTGCTGGGCCTGACTGGCCCCGCAAACGATGGGGTAGGTCGTGGCCTCAACGGTGGCGATGTGGTAGGCCGCGGCGCTGATTGCGAAACTTGTTCACGACGAACGATGTCTCGCACCAGGGCTCCAGCGCCCAGCTCCGCTTCGCGGCGCGCCTGGTCCCAGGCATCCGCCACCGCGCGGCCCTGCTTCAGCGCTTCTTCGTAGGTAACGAAGTAAAACGCTAAGTCGGAGGGCCTTTCAATACCATGGGCAGCGCACCACCGCTCCAGCTTCTGCTGTTCAGCAGAGCGGCGGATCTGCTCGTCAGCGCTTGCCATGGCGTCCGAACCGGGAAGAAAAAGTTTAGCTTGAGGTACCAGCAGCGACACTGCTCCTCAAGGGGCGTCTCCCCAGTTTGGCTTGAGCATTCAAACATTGGGAGACGTTGATTCGAAGCTTCCCAAATAATTCATCATCACCGACCCTGCCTACCTTAAATGATTGAATATCAAATATGCTTTCGGGAGGCGATACAATTACAGTATGTATACAACAGCTCTCCATCCGCTTCGCTCTGTTCAAGCCCCATTGGAAAACCAACGACAAGTCGTGGGGTCGAAAAATCACGTGCCTTGGATAGGATCTTCTGCGATCCGCGATCCAACATTTCCGCCTCTTTCTCCATGGCTTCGGTTGCAAGCCTCATTTGGTGACGACCCGGCCCAGCGCTTGCCAAAAGCCATTCCCAAAAAGGTGGGGGAGTTGAGTTGTGGAATGGGAGATCCAGTGCAGAGCACGGGGGAGTGGAACATGTTCCACTAAGTTTCCAGGTACTGAGTACTGATGCATCCTAGTGGCTTCTTGTTCCTAGTAGTAAGGCCAGGAGCCCCTAGTAGCGTCCTTGCTCCTAGAGCCCCTAGTAGCGTCCTTGTTCCTAGTAGTAATGCCAGGAGCACATTTAGTGGCATTCTTGTTATGAACAGCACTGTAGTAAATAATTGTCCATTGTTGTTGTGTTGCCTTTGGCTAATTTTACTCTGTGGTCCGGTCTCATCAGCACCAACTAAATCCTCTGCCAGACAGCCCGGCACCGAGGTTGTGCCGGTAAGTACTGTAGGTATGTTCCCGCAAGCGGTCCCTAGGATCAGAAAATCATTGACCATGCTTTGGCATTCCTTGCGCTAAGCTATATAGCAAGGAACATGCTGGATGATATACTCAATGTTGCAAGCCAAAGGCGTCTGTTGCCCTGCTATTGTATGCTATTGCTACTTGTTTGCTAGTCTTGTTGCAGGAAGAGCAGGTCACGAATCTGCAAACAAGCTGCCAATTGATGTGGTGCTTCCTCTTTTGCACACGGCTGGGGTTGGCATGCGTCGTCTGCCGCCAGCCCTTGCCATCGTACCTTCCGGGAGGAATGATTCCTACACGGAGCCATGCTGTTAGGAGCCTCAAGGGCGCACATAGACATGTCGTCCGAGACGCGCTTTTTGGTGAGGTAGCCTGGGCCACCATTCATCTGATCCTTCATATACCAGTCAGGATCCTGGCAACGCAAAGAAGGCCAATGGGGTTCAGCTTTGAGACGCTGCATAGGCCAAAGTGGTGGCTTTGCGTGAAATAAGCTTTCTCGAGAGTCTCGAGTCTCTAGATGAGGGTTTCCTCCATTCTGATTGCGGAATCATCACCAGCGAACATTGCAAAACCATCAATGCGAGAAAGAGTGCCTTCATGTCTTCAGCATTTACCTCAACAAACTGTCGAGGCTTACGCCTGAGCTCGCGATTGGTCGTCCGCAAAAAGGTTTGTCCACATCGGTGACCAAGACCAAATGATTGGCCAGCCCCTTCCATCCACGCTTAAATGATGGCATCTCCAGAGTCCTTGCCCTTGTTGGTTTAAGAAAACCTAGTGCAATTTCGAAATCATAGAGACATTTATGTGCGCTGGTGGGCAAATATCTCTTGGTTTAAAAACAGTTTCCCCAGTGTTCTACTGCTAGGTCATCAACCCCACAGGGTTAAGGAACAGTAGCAACACAACTTAACATAAATATATGTATAATATAGGTGAAGTAAGTCTGCAATCTGTCAAGAACAGCCTAGCCTATGTCTAAGCCACAATGGGTTTGCCTCCCAAATCCACCCGTACCACTATGCTGCTGCCAGCTGCAACTCCAACAAATCTTCTGCAGAAGGACCGTCTGGCTGGACCCTGAGCCGTGCGTGTGTCATGGCCTCGCCGAACCCTGGTGAACATACCCTCAACAAAAGAACAAAATAGCCTACAGTACCGGGCTATTCAGGCTGCGCGTGAAAACAGGTCAAAGGTTTCGACCCTGACACACTTGGTTCAGCATGGATGGATCAAGGATGACAAAGGTGGTAGGGCCTCGCACTCGCACATTGCCTAGAATGGAGGCTTCTTAACATTCCCGTCTTCATCTTGAAAAGCAAGCTTGTCTTGTGTCAGTCTGGACAACATGAGTGCCACCAACCGTCTCTGCACAAGACAATCCAATGTCAGGCAAGCAACGCTTCCGTGGAGAACATGGGATGGTTCAAGACGTTTGCAGGGACTTGCGCCGCCTGCACTTCGCCAAACATCTTTAAGAGAAGTTGAATGGACAAAAAGGACCCCAAGATGATGAACCAGTTTACAGAAACATATTGGCAAGTTGGCAAGGACTGCAAGTTCGGGAAGGCTGAACCTCCGCTAAACAGTGCCGCAAAGCTCATCACAGCTTGCCAATTTTACATTTGGCCGTTTGGCTTGGGGCACCTCCTCATCGTCGTCTGCAAAGTTTTCCGGTCGCAACAGCCCCTCGACCGGGACGCGGCTTTTCTCCCTGGCGAAGTGATGCGGAAAGGCATTCAGCTCAATACCTAAGGTAGGTCCGACGTCCTACACACCCTCTTCGCACTCCCTGTGCACAGCCAAACGAGCAACTCTCCACCTGCCTGTCGAACCCCCCACCGAGTCCCGCAGTCCTCGGAGTGGTGATCACCTGAGTGGGGTTGGTTCCCACGACCGTCGCGTCACGATCGGGGGCCACGCGAAGCGACGCGAAGAACGATGAAGAACGCCATAGTCTGCGCAACGAAGGACGTCACGGGTCTGGTTAGGCATTCAACACGTTCAAACCAACCACATGTCAAAAGTAGTTCAACGGATTCAACAGATTTCAACAGGATCTTTGACTGTGCTCGCCAAGCTGCATCCGAAAGGTCTAGTCTAATAGAGCTTGAGGTCTCCTTGCCCAGAGTGACCTCCAAAGGCCGGCTCATCATGTTGAGGAGGGAGGAGCGCGTCCAAAGCTCAGTCCCAAACTCACAACAATCCCCCACACACTTCAACAGAATATCGGATACTCCGCTGGTGCCCGCCTTCGGGGGTGGCAGTGCAGCCAGCAAGCTCTGACCCACTGGGTTGGCCGCCAATTGAGCCGCCTCACCGCGTCAGGTGCGCGCCGCGCCGTGCGCGCCCCGCCGTGGCACAGGTCACAGGCACATCGCGCGCCTTTTTCAAAGGAGCTTCGACTTCCTCTTCCGCGGCCTTGGGTGGCTCCAAGTTCAGTTTCCTGGCCACCAGCGGTTACCAGAACGCTACGTCGTACGACTGAGACCTGCGGTCTGGCAAACCTGTCCATTCCCTTTACGGGAGGACGCTAAGTCAGATTTCGCCACATATACAAGAGGTCCTCACCCATCAAACAAAACAAACAAATATATAACGAGATCACTTGAGGCCAAGGGGGGGGCGAAAGCTAGCGCTCCAGAATGGGAAAGTGGAGGGCAGCGAGGTAGGAAAAAACACGGCGCTCTTTTTGGAGGCAGGGGTGAAGAGTCCTTTATATGTGGCTCTTTGCCCGGATCCTCCTGCGAGAGAAGAGAGAGAAGAGAGACGGAAAGACGAGAGACAGAGAGGAGAGAGAGAGAGAGAGGAGAGAGAGATGAGAGAGATGAGAAAGAGATGAGAGAGATGAGAGAGATGAGAGAGACAGTGAGACAGTGAGACAGTGAGAGAGTGAGAGTGAGAGTGAGCGAGTGCGGCCGCAAGATACGCAACGCTAACCGCATGCCAAAGAGCGACGACAGGACGGAGTCGAACTTGCGAAGAGGGAGGAGGGAGGGAGGGAAGATGGGAGGAAGACAAGGAGGAGGAGAGGAGGAGAGAGGGGGAGGTGGGAGGAGAGGGGGGGGGGGGCGGGAGAAGAGGGGGAAAGAAGAAGGAGGGGGGGGAGGGAGGAGGGCGGGGGGGGGGGGGGGGGGGGGGGGGGGGGGGGGGGGGGGGGGGGGGTCTTCGACCTGAAAAATCAGAAACCTTGTTATCGCAAGAGTAACTCCAGCTAGCTTCGCTAGCTTTCGTGATTAGCTGCAGCTGGCAGCAGCTGGCCTGGATGTTGGCAGCTTGGAGTAGTCGATCTGGCAGCGATGGACAGTGGTGGACAGAAGTAGACGACCAAAGCATGACTGGCAAATGTCCTGTTCATGCTCAATGAGGCCCCTAATTTGCTAGGAACATCCAAGCGAAGGCTGCATGAGCTCGCACTCAACAAATCGGCATCGAGGGCTCAGGTGAGCCTTTCGCTTTTTGAGCAATGCCAAGTCAGATGGGTCACCTCAGCGTTTTGGAGCCAACACCTTTCCCAAGGTTCCTCAAACATCCTCAAGCTATATATTCCTCGATTCCTAACCATCTTCACAGCTGAGACTCATGCAGCCCCAACGGTAGGGCTCCAAAAAAAGGCTTTCTTGCAGCTCTTGTTGCTTGTGTGCAACGCGAACGCCCAGTTGGAAAGCGTGCTCAACACCAACCCATCTTAGTTTCACGCCCTCTGAACTGGGCGAGGCATCCGAGGCCTCCCAGAAAATTTGAGCAACACCCAAACAGAACGCTTCCCGTGTGCACCCAGCCCCAGCAGCGGTGAAGAGAAACACACAGAAAACAAAGACGCCTGCAGCGGTGCGGTGGGTGCATCTTCACCACTCTCTTCCCCCTCACTGTCGTAGCCCGCCCCTAAGAGGCTCATGGCTCCGGGCTCCGGCAGCGCTCAAACAACGAACCACTTCTATCCTTTCTCTCCTCTGATCTGCACAGTCTTATTGTGTTAGCTCTGCCATGTCACACGCTAAGACCTTTCCTACTAAGATTGGGTGCCCGTTTGTCGCACAGTCTTCCAGCTCCAGAGATGACCAGCTCCTTGTATAGTCAAATGGACTATCGGATCCTTGATGACCACCAGCTGCAATCCAGGATCCCGTGCAAATTGAAACAGGCTGAGCCAGAAGCTGGGCGGATGAATCTCTTTGCACCAGAACGAGGAGGATCATTCAGAGTGGATTTCAGAGCTTTGGATAACACAAATGATCAAGATGATCAAGTAGATATCATGAACCTCCTTGATCACAAAGGCTCTACAGTGCGCAGCTTGCAAAATCTTAAATCTTATTTAATGTCAAGGATGTGAAAAATTCTCTGAAACATGGTATCATGGCAAGGGAGATCTGAAGTCCACCCTGCAGCAATGGCCCACTGGGCCCCTTGCTTGATCAATACTTGGGGGCGCTTGCTGCGGCACCTGCTGTGGCATCTGCTGTGGCACCTGCTGTGGCACCTGGGCTGCCAGCAGAGCATGAAATCGAGACAATCGAGCTGAATCTAATTGAAGGCTCCACACAACAAATGGTGGGGACTTCACAGTTCAAGAACCGGACCATTGTCAAGACCCATGCAACACAAGTTGGCCTCTCACCAGCACTTCTGGCATCCAAGCCACAGTCTGGCACTGGTTGCATGGCAGCCTGTCGCAAGTAGCTCTACGGGTCTTCCTCCGCACCATCCCGCTCCCTGTGATCAATTGATATTTCAAAGGACCATAGTTCTGTTTGGCACTTCAGTTAACACAGAGTGTCCACGAAGCAGGTGCACAGCGTACCGGCGGCTGCCTCACCGGCTGCTTTGAGCTGGGCATGGTCCGGATGAGCCTCAGAAACAACGGCCCATCCTGCCCATCCTGCCCACCCTCCTCAAACCGTCCAAAATCAAACTTTGACTTGGACCCAAAAGAACATGATGTCACTCAAAAAGATAGCTTGAAGTCCATATTGGGTATGCAACCTACTGTGCAATATGTGCATATACGGAGAAAGTAAGTAACATGGTATGTGGGCATCTTTTCAAGGCTCTGAGCACCATCCCTGCATGGGAATGACACCCTGGCAGCTCCATCCCCTAAGTCCTCCGCCCCGGTGTCCCGAGCGGCTCCGGCACATCCATCTTCTCCGAGAGGCGCGACACGGCGGCACGGACCTCCCAGAAGACCCTGGGCCCTAGGGATTGGGGAAGAATGAATCTCACATAAAGATGGTAAAAAGCACTTCAGGCTGCATACTGGTTCTTAGTTGCTTGATGTTATTTGCAGAATCTAGTGGACAACAGAGAGCTTGATCGCCCAAGAGAGTGAATATGGCGATGGCCTCCCTCAGTTCAGCGCGAACATCCACTAGTTCAGATTCGACCTCATGACGGTAGGTGAGGCAAGACAGAAGCACTGCTATTCGTCGCACCCTGAAGAGGACAACTCAAAATCACATCGCGCAGCCGTGATTTCTCTCGGCATTTTGCTCAGCATCGCACAGTTTGCATCCGGCCCCGGAGCTTCAAGACCTCTACAGTCGAGTCATGCGAGTCATGCTGGGACGCCGCAAGGATTTCAAAGCTATGGGCCTCAGAGTTGGGTGCTTGACCGAGGTGTAGGGCCTCGGTCGAACTGGACGTCCACTGTGTTGTGCAAGGTGCAAGCGAACAGATGGGAGTGCAGAAGTTTCGCCAAACTCGCTTAGGTCTACAAAAAGACGACGACGACATTCGAGGGCCTGCTCCACTTGCGACAAACGGTGTCTGAAATCGGCCACATCCTGCAGACATTAATCGAGAACATGAATCAGGATAGGCACCACAAGCGCAATAGGACAAGCACCCAACGCTGCGGGCACGTCGGTCTGAACACCAAACAACATAAGGTTGCAAAGTTGCACACTGTGCGAGGTGAGTCCACCTGATCTTTATGGAGTCGATGGTGCTTGGAAAAGACGTCGCATCATTGCAACTCAATACCTCGCCTCACGGGAAAGATTGGTGATGTCGGGCAGCACCTCAGCGTCTTCCAAAGCGGCATGGCGTAATTAGGCGTAGTTATATATGTATATATATATATACGGGAAACCGGTGGTTTTCAGCAACAATGACTCTTGCACTTCTCAACTGCAGCAGGCAAATTCCAGCAATTCCCCACAGTGCCAAACCAACCAGCAGTGGTGAGTGGGCCGCCGCCACCGTCACAGCTTTTGGCAGCCAGTCGCGGCTCGGCGGTTTCCGCCGCTGGCGAAAGTCAGCAGAAGCGCACAGTGTTCATGCATACTTCGGCCACCCAAAAAGTTGCACAAATATGTACAAAGTGCCATCCAATTTTTCGGCTAGCACCTCAAATCGATCACCAATCATCAATCTTCCTCTTCAAAGCTGTCCTCGTACTCTACAGCTGTAGGATCCTCTTCAATTTCTGAGTAGGTCTCAGTATGGCTGCCACCGTCGGATCCTCAGCATGATGCATTGAATTTCTAGGCAGTGCTGGGAAGCCAAAATCTTAACATGTGTGGAATCCCCTCTGGCTGATGCTACCACATGCTACAAGGCATCTTGACTGGGGTGTTGCTGCTAAGATGTCCTCATGTGCACTGCCCACACCGGCTACATCCACTCGTAGCCTCCCACTCTAGGACTCTAGGGCCCTGACCTTCTGCCTGTGGAGCTTCCTGGTCGCTGTCTGCCTGAGAGATCTCCAACGGAAAAGCAACTCTGGAGCTCAACGTCAGGGGACACCCCCAACAGGTCCGTTTGCACTGGAGTTTCTTACAGGCCTCCTCCATGTCACTGGCATCTGGGAACAACAGCTTCGGGATCATCTCTTGCACGATCCTGCAGGGGTCCCGACAAAATGCGTTGAACGCCGGGCGGCAACCCATATTTCAAGTTGGGGCTAGAAGGTACGGCATATATGTTAACAAGAAGGTAGGGCAGCCTATGTTAACCAGCGTCGTCCTTTTTGAAAAGGTGGTCAGCCACTTCTATGCCTGCTCTTGAAATGATCTTGGCCCCCCCATCCTCTTCGGCAAGTCACCTTGTGTCTTCTCGAGACCACGCACATTGGTCGCCACACCCCTTCCAGGCATCACTGTGGGAGCTGGGCGCCCAGGTGCAGGCTGCCTGGGTGCAGGGTGCCTCGGTGCAGGGCGCTGGCAGCGCGGATGAATCACATCATCCTGCCGATACATCCAGAACCTCAGTGGAGCACAACTAGAACCAAGGGAAACTCTGATTGTCTAGTCTGGAATGTAGTGGCAATGTAAAACGAACTGCCTCAACACAAGCTCTTCATCTTTGAATGATTCGAAGGAACTCTAGGCTTGCGGGTCCTGAAGGAGAAGGGAGCTTTCGAAAGAACAAGCCTTGCAAAATCTTGCCAAATCTAGGCCTGGAGACGGATCATGCCGCCGTCGCACACCAAATGCTGGCTGAAGCTTATGTGCAGACTGCGAACTGGTCCAGCCCAGGCGGGTGAAGATCTGGTCCAAGGCCTTGAGCCTCAGCTCTTTCAACGACTCAGCTTCTTCAGCCCAACATGCTGTAGTAGATTAGTAGATGGCCCGTCTACGTTTCAATACCCGAAAGAAGCCAGAATGATGGCTGTAACTGTGAGGCACTGTGAGGCACTGTAATAAGGCGCCCATCAATCAGAAAAGGGGACAAAGAAAACCAGTTATCTACAAGAAACCTCCTTTGGAGATCTGCATCTTGCTGCACAGGCCATGGCCGTCCACTCTTTACGCCGGTCGGCAGGACTACTGGAGCGCTCTGGGGCCTTCGCCTGGATGGCTCGAGTGCCCCAAAGAAGGACAGGTGACCCAAGTTCACTCAACAGCTGAGTTTCAAAAGCTTCGTCACAAGGCTTTTAAAAAGGATGCTTTATTGTTATATACTAGTAGCGATGGCCTCCAACCTAGCAGCGATGGCCTCCACCTAGTAGCTTTTTGCTACTAAGAAAGATCTGAGCTTGCCTTGGAGCAGTCGCGTCCAGATCCCGCAGAGACAGCGGGATCGGTCGGAGGCGATGTTGAGTCCCCATGCCTGGTGAAGCTCAGCGATTGACCAAAAGCTACTAGGGGCTCCTGGCATCGCTACTAGGAGCAAGGACGCTATTAGGGGCTCCTGGCCTTACTACTAGGAACAAGAAGCTACTAGGAGCTACCTGGTGAAGTCGAGCCTTTTTGACTTCCAAACGCAATGTGAGCATAGACAACTCAAGGGCGTGAGCGCGGGGCCGAGATCCCACAAGCGGATGTTGGGGCTATTTTATCTCTCAAAAATTATTCAAACTCAAACTGTTCGGACAAGAATGCTCTGAGTGAAAAACCACGTCGCCGTCCCGAAAACCACACGCCTGACTTCGCTCGATCCATCAGGCAGGCGTCCATCCCGACCGACACGGTTCCACCCGGAAGCATCGGCGGCGGTAGCGAGGAGCAAAGGAATGGCGGACGGTCCGATGAGCGTCCAAACGTGCTTTCAGAGCCTTTGCGGGTCATTTTGTGCAATATTTCGTGATACCCCCTTTTGAAGCTATATGGAATTGTGGTCTGCTATATTTTGTGCATTTACAAGTCCAGTGATTGTTTCTGCTTGAATCTGGCTTGAGCCTAACTAACCGCAGCCTCTTATCCGACCACTAGCTCATGGATGAGACCGTCGGTTGCGGAAAAAACCCTCAACCTCAAGTTGATGCCGAGAATATCTGAGAATCGTGGTGCGATTGCAAAACCTCAGCTCGGGTTCACAAGATTCAAGACCCCGGCACGAGGTCCTGGGCTGAAGTTCAGCCCTGGCCCAGCACCTTGCACAGGTTTCTGCTCAAGGTACGGTCTGGACTTGCGTATATAGTTGCTATGATTGGCGTACAGCTAAGGTCATTGCGGTGAGGAGTCGGCCTTGGAGGCCAATCACCCTACCATGACTTCA